TGGTAATTGGGAAGCCTGATGCGCGTCAAGTCTACACTTGAAGGAGTTCATACAGGAGGAGATTATAACATCGGTAGGGAGAGCATTCCACGCTGCAACCACTCTGTTACTGAAGAAGAACTTTCGTCCATTGATTCTTGATTTCCCTGCGCGTAGTTTTAGGGGATGACCGCGCAAAGTGGGCGTGTTAGTTTGGGTGAAATGATCAATGGGATCTAAACAACAGTCTAGGCCTTTGATAATGCGAAATGTTAGTATAAGGTCACCACGTAATTGCCTGTAGGTAAGGGGAAACAGGTTGAGAGTTGACAATCTGGTTTCATAGGGCAGTGCTCCCAGACCTTGTGTCATTTTGGTCTTCCGTCTCTGGACCTTCTTCAAGACGGTATAATCCTTGGCAGTCCAAGGTCTCCACGCCTGTATGGCGTATTCTAGATGAGGTCGCACGAAGGTGCCAAATATTTTGGAAAAGCAGTCAGGGTCAAATCCCATAAATGCTCGCCTAATGAGTTGCAATGTGGCCGTAGCCGATTTAGCCGCCTTCGCGCAGTACAGTGTTGGATTGAGTGAAGATGTAATCCATACACCCAGGTTCTTCTGACTGTCAACCTGTTGCAGTGGTGTGCCGTGTAGAAAGTAAGTCCTTGGGCTGGGGGCTCTGAAGCTGCCGAGTTGAAGAAAGTCGCACTTGCTTATATTGAAGGGCATAAGCCAGCGCTTCGACCAGTCTTCGAGCCTGTTCAAGTTTGCTTGCAGTTTGATTGGCTAGTTGGGAAGCCGGGTGGGCAAAGGCCAGACAACACTGGTGCGCACGTGCAGACATGTGCCGAGGCGCCAGACTATCTTGCCTTTCCCTACCTGTTCCTCATTCTTGAACTTACTGGTTGTTTAACTGAATGGAATGAACACAACTCGACGCGACGCGCTTGGCATGAGTGGGATTGTCAGGTCGTTTGACTTTTGATTATTAATTCTTCCATAACTCTGGTCTTATCCTGATTTTTATAGTCTGGGATTGACGGTTCTGTCTTTAACACTCGCTACAGTGATGACCCTTGACGTTCACGCTTATACCTTTAATTAGTCGACTTCCAATTTGCATACCGCCCGTTTGCCTTCTTTCTTTCTACAATCACGTCCTCTACAAATTCCAATGATCCCACTTCTTCTCTTAGTGGACTTGTTTCTTCCCTCCCAGACTTTTGGCAACATGCGCCAGAGCTTTATTTTTTCTGTATTGAGGCGACTTTTCACTCCGCCAAGATAACACGTGAAACCGACAAGTTTTATAAGCTGGTCGAGGCCCTCCCTCCCACCATTCTTTCTCAAGTGCAAACGCTTCTGAGAGATCCCCCGACTGATGCTCCTTACACCAAGTTAAAGGCTGAACTTCTTCGCCTGACATCAGTCTCCGATCGGCAGCGTTATCACGCACTAGTAAAAGAGGAGGCCTTAGGTGATCGCAAGCCGTCGGAACTCTTGCGTCGCATGCGTTCTCTGGTTGGGAACATGAAAATCGACGACAAGTTCTTTAAAGAGATGTTCTTAGAACGTCTGCCGATGTCTGTACAAACAATCTTGGCCTCTAGCTCCGAAGACCTAGAAATATCAAAGTTAGCGGAGATGGCTGACCGTATGATGGAGGTTGAGCGTTTGTCATCCCCGACGATTGCTCAGGTGTCCCAGCCTCTCAACGTGTCCACCTCTGACCTTGCTGAACTAAAGACGCAGATTGCCCAGTTGTCAGCGACTGTTGCCGCTTTGCAGCTGCGCCGATCCCCCGGTCCCTCTCGACGTCCCTTCGGTCGTGACCGTCGTCGTTCCCGCTCTCGCCCCAGGACCGCCAACCTATGTTGGTGTCATGTCAACTATGGCGATAAGGCGCGGCGCTGTGTCCCACCCTGCTCCTTCAATTCCACGCAGGGAAACTCCTCGGCCGGAGAGTAAACGCGGCCGAGCTCTCTGGCAACTCTACGGGTCGCACATTTTACGTGAGTGATAACACGAGTGGCAGGCATTTTTTAGTCGACACTGGCGCTCAGATTAGTGTTATTCCTCCCACGCCAGCCGACCGACATTGCCCAAACCATGGTCTTTACCTTCAGGCCGTAAACTCATCCCCCATTACAACCTTTGGATTTCGATCCCTCTCCCTGGATATCGGCCTCCGGCGATTATTCCCCTGGATATTTGTGGTTGCTGATGTTCCCACTGCTATCCTTGGTGCTGATTTTTTGGCCGCCTTTGACCTTCTGGTGGATTGCAGACAACTTCGCCTCCATGATCGCGCAACTACCCCCACTGTCAAAGGATTTCCTCCATCCTCAGTTTCTAGACAGCTCTCCGTCCTTGACCCAAACCCTGACTGTCCATTTCGTAGACTTTTAGCAAAATATCCTACCCTCACTAAGCCCAATTTTTCTGACACCTCATTTCCCCATGATATTGTTCATCATATAAAAACGACTGGTCCTCCCGTTTTTTCTCGTCCCCGCCGTCTTGCTCCCGCGCGTCTTGCGGCTGCTAAAGCAGAATTTGACCACATGCTGCAACTAGGGATTAGTCGACAGTCTGACAGTCCCTGGGCATCTCCTTTGCACATGGTTCCTAAACCAAATACGGATGATTGGCGTCCTTGTGGCGATTATAGAGCCCTAAACAATATCACTATGCCCGATCGGTACCCCGTTCCTCATCTTCAGGACTTTGCTGGAGCCCTTTTCGGCAAAACCATTTTCTCGAAGATCGATTTGGTGCGGGCTTTTCATCAAATTCCGATTGCGGCTGAAGACATTCCCAAAACGGCAGTGACGACTCATTTTGGTTTGTTCGAGTTCCTTCGTATGCCATTTGGTCTCCGAAATGCCTCACAAACTTTCCAACGTTTCATTGACCGTGTTTTACGCGGCCTTCCATTTGTTTATGCGTATATTGATGATGTTCTCGTCGCCAGTCGAGATGTGGAG